GCCTTCCAGGCCTCATCAGTGCAGCTAGGGTATAGACCCAAGCAAACGTTCGACCAGCTTAGGTAGGGCCCAAACTAGTCCCACGACCACTAATGATTACAGAGCCAAACCAAGGCAATATATATACACAGCCCATGTGTGAATGCAAATAGTGGAATACAAGCTATGTGGCTCGGTTCCAATAGATACAGTGGATATTTTGTCATTCTTATCGCGTCCTACGAAATTCTTACGAGACAGCACTAGTCTGTGAATTGTGTAATGAAATGCCTCTGGTGAGACTCGAACCTGCGACCTCTCGCTGTCAAGGCGAGCATCATAACCATTAGAGGCTTCATGGTTGAACAGATTCAAATCATCACCAGATGCACTCCATAAATACGGCTAGGAACAAATAGTTGCATACCGGTATAATATAAATCAAAATAGCCGTTAACACTGTGAAATTATATAATAATCATCAAGCAAAGGTAAATACAGTGTTAGAATAAAGGACATAAAAGTACATCGTGTAGCATAGCTCTCAACGAATGTAGTCCTGTAAATAAATAAAGAAATTGTGTAATAAAATACCTCTGGCGGGACTCGAACCTGCGACCTTTCGTTGTCAAGGCGAGCGTCATAACCATTAGACCACGGAGGCTTCATGGTGGAACAGATTCAAATACCACCAGATACACTCCATTACACAATAAATACGGCTAGGAACAAATAGTTGCATATAATATAAATCAAGATAGCCGTTAACACTGTTAAATTATAATAATCATCAAACAAAGGTAAATACAATGTTAGAATAAAGGACATAATAGTACATCGTGTAGCATAGCTCTCAACGAATGTAGTCCTGTAAATAAATGAATCTTGATTTATATTATATGCAACTATAGTTATAATATTATATAATAATATTAGTAATAGAGGTATTCCTATTTGCTGTATATCTCTATGGTTGGTGAGTTTTCATACTATAGGGGGCGCATTTTAATGTGATGGTGACTCATGGGATATCCAAAATGGCAGCCCACAGTAATTTGAAACATGGTGGTAGGAAAGGAAAACATAAAGGAAAATTTGGCAAAAGACATACACCTGATTTGCTTTACAAGCGAAAACAAAAATGGCAAATGGATCAGGAGGAAATTGAAGTTCTCAAATCGAAATATAACAGTGTAGGTATTGAATATTCTTAGTTAAAACTCCAGAGGCCTTGGTAGGCTAGGCCTAGATAGCCTTCCTTCCTACAGACAGTACAGCCAGGGCCTGTGTAGGCCTAGGAGGCCTAGGCCTAGTAGTAGTAGGCCTAGCTAGGCCTCCTATGCCTATCATTGTTTTAGTTTTCCTGTGTTAAAAACATGATTTACTATACTATACTTCTTTATAAAACAAAACTTGTACTTTATAATAAGACTCTGATTAAGAGAAATCCGTATATTCGTTATCGGTACCTACCTGGAACAGTAAGAACACGAAAATACTATCTACGCTACTGCACTGTAAAGCATAAGGGGTAGGGGTTTTTGGACAAAATGACAAAAAACCAAAACGGCAATGACCAAAATGGCAATGACCAGAACGGCAATAAACCAAAAAAGCAATGATAAAGTACCAAAATGGCAACAGACCAAAACGGCAATGTCAACTACCAAAATAGGGATGTTAAAAAAAAATTAAATTTGATTGGATGTCCACAATACTGATATCACAGAATCTACCAAGTTTTATAACATTAAAAATGTTTACAAAATTAAATTTGGTTGTATAGTTGATTTTTAATGATTTTTTAAAATTTTGTGACTTTTTTACTAATTTATGTCATTAAATCACCATAGCTTTGTTGTGTTTAATAGATTTTCAATTATTTTTTCACAGATGCTAGATGAAATGATAAGAACTTTAAATACATAATTAGAAGCCACTGGGGAAGGGGATATCTAAAATCGATGAAATAAATTATTACAAATCCCCCTGCCCCACTTTCACTTTTGCCAAGGACATCGCACTCCCTCCCCTCGGGTAAACTATGGCAGCCACACTGATGTATATCAAGTTTCAAGCAATATACAAAACTGAATTATTAATATTCTCATTGTGTATAATGTACTTTGAAAAAAAAATAATTAGGTACTGTTTATTGATTTGATCTAATAATTTGTACTAAATAATAGACTCTATAAATGCATTTTTTTTTTTCAACTAATTTATTATTACTACAGGGGTATTATTATTTTAAATTGTTTAAAAACTATTACTCTAGGCCTATGCAACACCAGGATGTTTGTGCTCTATATTCCTGTCAACAACACATATCATCCAATCAAAGTTCAAATTCTATGTCATGTGATGTATACAGACCAATTACAGGCCAGAATTTCCTAATAAGATCCCATATGCAATTTCGTGACGGTAATTCTCAATTATACTCTGGTATATTAATCGTAAAATTTCATTCTAATAATTTGAAATCTTTAAAAATATTCTATAATATAATACTAATCAATGATTACTGTATATAGGACATATTCATCATTAATACAGACTTTATGTGTAAATTTAATAATACAAATATCCCGTTTGAATCATCCTCCAATGTACACAATTACATACGAATTCTTTTGATCAGTGGACATTTTTATGCATCAGACTCGAGAGTCGTAAGATTTGAGAAAATCAAAAAAATTGTTGGTATGCATCAGATCTAATTCAAAACTTGGCATAGATATTAAATATATAATTTTAAAACTAACAGGATGGTTTTTTATAAATTACAGTGCTTACAACATTAGTTAAGTCAATTGTATTCGGGGCCCCCGGATCTGGGTCCAGCGGGGACTTCACATGTACATTTCCATCTAAACATTAAAATCCCTGTGCAAGCCCCAGCTGCATTCCGGCTATGCGGGGCAACATTCTAATGTAAATCCCTGGCTAAGTAACCCCCAATGCCCATTTGGGATATTTTTTGTAGTCCACTGTTCAAGCTCTCGTAAATCCCTGACCAAAGCATTTTCGGGTGCAAGTTTTTCTTATAGTCTAGGTCTTGCAGTAAACTATTCTAATGGATTTCTGGATCGGAGAAACTCTTGGCAATCTATGATCTGGACCAACTTTAGATAGTGGATGACCTGGTACTGTCACTATACTATAGTACTGTACTGTACATCGCGGCCAGACCAAGATTGACTACATAAAGACGAGACTATGTTTTAGATCTTGATTAGAGAACCTATAACCACTGATAATAATAGTTTGAATTTTTAAATAAAAATAAAATTATATTTTTTGCCAGTTAGCACACCTTCCTCACCATAATAATACATAATAAGACTTTTATAGCGCTCATACTCTATGCATTTGAAGAAATGCTCAAAGCGCTTGTGAATATAGAGAGCAGAAAAAGAAAAAATATTTCCCCATTTAGACTACTGAAGCATCGCATTGTGATCAGTGGTAGCAACTGCGACATGCAATCGCAGCCAATTGCAAAGTAAAATTGTGTGTGAAAGCTCACCAATAGTAGTCGATAAGTAATCCATATCGGAATCTTTATTACTCCCGATTACACGCAACGAATCACAACAAATTTCACACAGTGCACTGCTTGGCTGAGGTCAGTCAACATACTGTAGGCCTAGCCACCGGAGGCCTAGGGACTAGAATGTAAAGTTTTTGTGTGTTGGTCTGAATGTGCTCCTTGATTGCGATCAGGAGTAATCAGTGTGTAGTCTGAATAGGGTATACCGTAAGGCAGTAAATATCCTGCAAACTAACCCGAAGCAGAGAAACCAGCTTTACCGCTCTGTTTACCAACACTTTGAAGGCCCTGTGATGGCTCGCTGGTTCATGACTCCCATGACCTCACGTAATTCAAAGTGCCAGAGAGAGCAGCTTAGCTCCGTCGGCTAATCTGGTGGTATATAGCGCACCGTCTTTTGAATGAGACGTTTAAGCCGTTGGTCCTGTGTGCATTATGGCCCTTGCGCGCATTAAAGAACGCAGTCCCTCTTCGGAAAAGAGTAGGGGAATTGTCTCCCGGTGTATTGCCTAATCACCACCAGAAGGACCCCACTGAAAATAAGTCTTCTTCTAGACTTTCGTGGGCTATCCTTGGTGTTTACACAGAATAAATCCAACTAACTATCTTATTCTACCCATAATTAAAAAAAGAACAAATACTTGGAACCAAAACTAGAAAATTTCAGATGGCATTATCATCAGATAGGTCTTGAGTGCATTTTCGAAGGCCGATATTCTGTAGTCTTAATAGAGCGAAGATAAATTTGTAGCCTGTTCCAGAGTTTGGGAGCAGCTACAGAAAATGTAGCCATGTCATCTGCCTTTGAGGAATTTGGACATTGGTTTGTGTGTGTGGGACGAAGTCAAAATTTACAGACACCTTCGAACAGAAAATGCATATGAAGCTATATGTTTGTTAGAACTCAAGGCAAAATAAAAAAGTGTGTGTCTGGCCTGAGTTGTACATCAAAGCATGTTCATTGTTTATTGCTCAACATGTAAGTTTGTGATTTGACTAAAGTAAAATTATCTGGAAGAGCCTCTATTTTAGTGTTTTTTTAATTGATTATCATGAACATTACATCTGCATCGTATCTTTTGAACAAAACTACCTTCTTCCATTAGGTCTGTTACCTCTATTATTACAGTACATTTACATCTGAACTTAAAACTCAACTCTTTAACAGCTTGGCTTCTTCTCTTACGCTGCACCTTTTATCATCATTCTTGGAATTGGCGCATTACAAGTTATTTATTATTATTATTATTATTATTATTATTATTATTATTATTATTATTATTATTGTAATCCATAAGACAATCATTAAGTGAATAGTTATATCCAAATAATAAATTTTGCATTGCAAGGTTCACTGTGCTTTCAGTGATACTGTAAAACCTTGAATAAAGCCCAAATGAGCTTAATCTTGAGAAGAAGCCCATCTTGAAAAGAAGCCAATCTCGAAAAGAGCCCATCTCAAAAAGAAGCCCATCCAAGGTAATCAAAACTAAGACTAGTTTTAAAGGTTTTGAGAATTTAAAGAGTTCCATTTTCAGCCATCCACTTTAAGGCCAAATAAAAAAATTATTGTGTTGGCCAAAATTTTACGAAATTCAGGGTTGGCATTTTATTTATTTTTTATAAGCAAATAAGGCTGGATAGCCTTGGCAAGGCTAGAGGGCCAAGGCCTAGCCTGTTTTGCTGGATGGTACGCGATGCAAATCCGAAATTGTGATGTGTTCGCACTGATGATGGGAATAGTATCCCGAATCATGTCTGCTACTGCTACACGATCGGGCTCGCTTTTGAGCCCGCGATCAGTTATACGCTTAAAGATGGTTGTTTGTTTTATTAAATGCCTCCTGGTGTTTTTTACTTATTCAAAATCAAAAATTGCTGTTTTATTTGTGTATTTCTACTTTTTAGGCATAAACACATTTTTGGTTGTTAAAAAAAAAAATTTTCAGGAAAAATAAAATCCTTTTTTAAATTTTTATTACGCCCACTGCCACCTTGAATTCTTTCAAAATATAATCTATATTCCATCCTTAATTAGGAAAATTTAAACCATTTATAAATCCCATTACTACACTGATTATATTCATCAGTCATTTTTTCTCCTCTGTCTAGATGCTAAAACTGTTTTACTAAATAAAAGAAACCAAAATTTATATTATTTTTTTCTGCCCTCCTCTGATAGTCTTAAAAAAATAAGTTCACTGAACATGGTATAAAAGAGCCTTGCCTTTATACAGTACAGTTTATCTACAAATCAAGTTTATAATATAACATATGGTGACAATCACATCGTGCTTAACATGAGTGGAATCTGTGTGTTGAAATAGGTTTTTATATAGTAGTATTTAATTTCAACAAAATATAATAAATGGTGACAATCACATCATATTTACATGAGTGGAACGTGTGTGTTGAAATAAGATCTCCAACATCGATATTGACTACATTAATCATAAGTTATGGGTGGATTGTAAGACATACCGGTAACAGAAACTGACAGGCATATGTGAAATATATATTCAGTTAATCCCAAGTGCCTTTTATTTTTTGTTAGTGCACAAGTGTTGTACTGTATAATCATGGACCTATTAGGTATAATAAACCACTAATGTAGGGTGCTGTGGTGCAATAAAAGTAGGGTACGTGTGCTGCCCTCTTTAGTGGGGGTCAAGAAGACTTGAGTATATGCCATACTATTTTATACCATATAGATTTTTTCATCACTGAGGATTTTATACCAAAAATAATAATAAAAAAAAAAGAATAAAAAAGAAACAGATATTTAAATACCGTATTAAAGAGCCTCCAATTTGTGGCATTTAACTATTTACATTTTAGTTGAGTAAGGGTCTGGTTGTGTTGAAGATGTTGCTGTGTTTCCTCCAATTCCTGTTTCATAAGAAGCCATCAATGTATATAATATATATTTCAAGAATATTCAATAAAAACTAGGTACATCATGTCTTGAAATAACTAATTAGAATGTTCATGAATTTCTCTTTCTCCCCCCTCAAAATATTTACTTGCCTTTCAAATCAAATCCAAGGTTCAACATAAAGAAAAAGCCAAAAACGACAATTAAAATGCAAATAAAAAGGAGCAAATATTACAAAAATGGTACATACATTATGGTACGTGTAAGCAAGAAACAATTATAAATTAAAAACAAAGTTCACATAAATGTGTTTACTGTAGATTCCAAGTACAGTAAACTAAAATTAATTTCGCAGTGAAGGATGTTTTCTGTTTGAAAATTTAAATTGAACTGTGCGTGCGAAGTTCATATGGAAATGCATTCTAGAGACTGGGAGCTAGCAGCATAAAATGCACGATCACTGTACTGTAGGATCAAGCACAAATCAGTTACAAATACATCCACTGAACTTAAAGTGCGTTTGGGGACATGTAAAGACAAAAGTTTACTGTAACTTTATAGGTACAGGCTAAATTTTTCAATTGTTTCCTGGTATAGCAGAAACAATTCAATAGTGAATCGGTAATAAGGGCTGTCTCTCGGTAATAAGGGTGGGGTGGGTGGGGATTGTTTGAGCATTGGTGAGATATGATCAATTAATTTTGGATCTGAATTAGCATGCATGGTGCAGAATTTTGGTGATGTTGGAGATTACTAAGTTGTTGTTTCGTTAATGCGATACAATATTATGACTTCCCGTTGTCATACGTTGACGTAACTAAAGGAATTGACTACTTTTAGAGTGTTGTCTTTGAAAACTTTCCGGGTTTTTGTTTTAAAAAATTGTTTAGGAAAAAACCTCGAACGTCAACCTTAAAATATTTTGAATTTGCAAATTGACCTTGGTACGTTGATTCAATAAAAAGCAATCGGCCTAGAAACATTTCCTGCGAGAATTTTTATCTACGTACGCATTTAAATTACACATTGCTTGAATCCGTTCATCATGTATTCTCTCCTCGTTCTCCATTAAACCACCTCTCCAACATGTTTAAAAAGCCTGCCACATCAATATTGTGTTACGAAATCTGACAGCGTAGAATGCTGTTAAATTTGAAACTTGTTTCCTATCGTGAGATATGAGGCGGAGTGATTTGTTGATAGATTGCATTCCGATCAATTGAAATTATTAATTTTAACTTTCAGCGTCATCAGATATAGACACTCTAACTTTATTATTGACACTCAAGTGTGACATAATTGAGGAAATGCGTCATTTAATATGCATGCAAGTGTGATATTATATTATTAAGGATGATCTGTTTCTACCCCATCCCCTGTAATTACCATCATTCTAAATTAAATAGTCTTTTTCAATTAATGTCTAATACTGTGTTTATTTTTAATTATTAATAATAATAATAATATCAATTATTCCAAGCTAAAGAGGAAACTATAACATGCTAAAGGCAATCCTAGACCCCCACATACGCTGTTTAATGACTCAAAAAGCACTGTGTCGCTTAAAGCAGTTTTTGAGGCTTCCGCGTCTCTTATTCTAGAGAGCCTCTGTTTTGAGAGGGGCTTATGAATGACTCCAAGCTACAGTACAAAATGTTTTTAACTTCTATTGTTCCATACTGTATTCTATAGACTTTTCAATGAACTCAACTAAAATTTGTAGGCAGTAGATAAGATAACAGTTTTAAATGATTTATATTTTGTTTATATTGTATAAAACAATAACTAACCTTTGAGCAATTGTATGTTGAATTGAATTTCCGAAAGGACAAATAAATAGAAGAGACTAAAGATAGAATGTTAACATTTAAAATGTTAACATTTGGTGTGGCCTTTCTGATATTTTGTAACATAAGTAGTGTAGTAATAGTAGTTTCATTAGAAATTGAATGTTGGGTAATTTTCTTGATGATACGAAACATGAAATATTGTTGTAAGCACGGTCACTTCCATTAAAAAAACATCTCCAATCACTGCAGCACTTACTTGTGAGTGACGCTTGCTAAAAAAGCTCGTATTTGGTGCAGTGCTTGTTTGAGAGCTTACTGTGTACAAGAATTAAAAAAAAAAAAAAAAAAATTGTACTCGTATAAAAACATACAAAGGAATTTTGGTTGTACAGCTTTTCAAATTTTAAACAGACAAAATTACGAACTTGCAAAGGACATACCACCATACTGCACATAGCAAGACCCGAGTTGCCATGTTGAATAAACTGACTAAAAACAGTACTTTTAATCTATTGTATGGCTAAAAATGTAATTGTTTTCCACAGTTTGATTCATCGAATGTAGAAACATTTGACGATTTTCCAATAAGCCAACGAACGAAAGCTGGTTTACTGAAAGCAAATTTCATCTCACCAACCGACATTCAAAAGGCAACTATCGGCCTAGGACTACAGGACTTTGACATCCTTGGCGCTGCTAAAACTGGTTCAGGCAAAACTTTAGCTTTTCTAGTTCCAGTATGCACCTTTATACGTTTCATACTTTTATGATTATGATATTCAAGTATTTAAATACAATATTTTATAAATATTAAAAATTGAAATATTAGGAAATATAAGTTGTTTAATTCAATAAATAAGATATTTTTTTTATTTATTTGGTAATAAAAAAATAGAATCAAGCAAATCATTTTAAATTCACAAGTTCCCATTGAAAGATTTAAATACAGTTTTTTTTTTTGTGATATTAATTGTTTATCTACACAGATTTTCAAATAAATTTTATTTTACTCTATATAATTTTTTATATTAAAGAATTAGTTAATAGTACCGGTAATAATAATAACAAAGCAGTATTTATATTGCGACTTACGGATTGCAGAAATCCTCTAGGCACTTTACGTTAAGTCTATGGTGGAAAACTACAAAACAATGGTTTAAAAACTATCCCCTGCCAGACACCACCCTGGTATTTCTGAATCTAGATTTCAAGGCTGGAAATTTCATAATTACTTTATATATTATTTTTTTTAATCATATTTATTCTTTGTTCTTTCTCCTTACCGGAGAAAAATCCCTCAGATAATGTGAGCAAGAATGTTTCAAATTTCAGGTAAAATCTTATAACTTTTTTTGGATTTAATGTTGTGTTTTAGGTCCTAGAATGCCTATACAGGAATAGGTTCTCTGCAGCAGATGGGCTTGGCGCTTTGGTGATTTCACCAACACGGGAGCTGGCCTACCAGACGTTTGAAGTGCTAACAAAAGTTGGTGTACAGCATGACTTCTCTGCAGGGCTTGTGATTGGTGGAAAGGTGAGAGTGTTAATACTGTATATATTGTTTGTTGACATAATTGTTTATTTCTCTGTCTATCACCTAATAGTGAATGAAATTGATCAGCATTTTGTAGATATATAGATACGAGCTAACAATGTTTTCATACTAAATCGTTGATTAAAAAGAGGCAACAGGCGTTTGCAGAAAATAAGCAATATTTGTGGAGATATTTCCATAATAAGATAAATGTGTTTTTACGGGCTGATAAAAAGGACTATCACATCAAAAATGTGAGCACCTTGGAAAGGTCATCTCCAGCTGAATGGCATAAACACATTCGTAATCTTTCTGGACAACGCAACCAAAAAGATATTGTGATGGACAACACTGAAATCGTAGACTCTACAGCTATCGCTTATTGTGTGTCATCTTTCTTGACCAATGTTAGTGCATCACTTAAGCATTGGACAGAACTTTGTTGCCTGCTTTTCTTCCGTGTACCCCTCCTCGTTCGGTTGAGCCATGGGAGGTCCTTACGCAACTTAATAAGGTCAAACCTCGCTCTTTGTGTGGACCTCATCAGATTTCTGCAAAATTTATCAAATTATTCTTGTACTACTGTAACTCTAAAGACCACTTTGTCATGTATTAATTGCTCATTTCAAGAATCTGTTGTCCCGCACCAGTGGAAGCAAGCTCATGTTGTTCCAATTCCGAAAGCAGCTGGTGTACCATTTACATTGCGAAATATGAGACCTATTGCCATTACAGATCACTTCGCTAAGATTGCGTAACATTTTATCGCTGTTGGCACCATTGCCTCTATGGAGGTTAAGCTTGACAAGATAAGTTTGGAAACCTTAAAGGAATTTCAACCAACCATTGCCTTATTAGTATATTAAATAAACTTCATTGCCACGCGGACACACCACACACAGTTTCATATATTCTTTTAACGGATTTCTCGAAAGCGTTCGACCATGTTGATCGCTCGATTGCAATACTTCAAATTTTGGACATGGCTGTTCCTTCTGCTTATGTTTCTTGGATTGCTGAGTTCTTATGTGGTTGCATTCATCATGCAAAATACCAAGGAGTGTTATCTGACCAATCAGTTATTAACGCTGGTGTGCCTCAGGGCACTAAACTAGGGCCTATTGTCTTTTAGGCAATGATAAATGAGGTTTCTCGTAATAACGAATCCATTCATCATTATAAATATGTTGATGATTTTAAGTTTCTGGAATATCGTAGGATTCAACAAAACTCTGGCCTTCCTAACTGTGCTGCAAGTCTTCTTTCATTGTCTGAACAAAGTAACATGAGACTTAATCCTTTGAAATGTTTTATTATGGATGTTTGTTTTTCTAAAAATCTGCCCCTTCCCAGGGCATTACTCTTTATGATCAGGCTATTGCCACATGTGATTATGTTAAATTGCTTGGAGTGTTTATTCAGTCTAACCTTAAAATGGGACAAACACGTCGACTATATGGTTAAGAGAGGTAACGGCAGGCTCCATACCCTGCATACACTTAAACGGCGTGGTGTTTCCCCGGGGCGACCTGGTGTTGGTGTATACAGGTTCAGTTAGGCCAGTGTTGGAATATGCGGTACTGGTATGGAATGGAGGGCTCATTATTAACCACATTAATGCTATCGAGCGCATTCAAAACACGCTTGTAGGATTATCTTGGGCAAGAGGTACACCACATATGCTGATGCTCTTGTTACGTTGCACCTTGATAGTCATAGGCATCGAGACGTTTGTATTTCCTTTGCTAAGACTATTTTGAACCCCACTTCTAAATTGTTTTCATTATTGCTTGTTAGAGGTAATGTTGTCCACAAATATTATACTCGATCTGCTGAAAAGTTTCGTAACATTATTTGTAATACGGTGCGCCACGCGAGCAGTCCTTTACCGTATTTGGTGAAGCTTATTAATGATTGTAATCTTTGATGTTTTGTTTTTGTTTGACGGATTCGATTTTCTATTAACTAATGATGGTATCATGAAATGCAATTCAACTCGGTGATGTGGATGCATCACTGAGCGGCTATATTTTATGAAATGTACATGTTTTATATTGTTTTTGAATAAAGAAATACCGAGAATAAAAAAATACAGAATAATAAAATATAATATTCTGCAGTTGTAGTCAGGTTTTAAGTACACCATAGGAAATAAAATCAAACTGCTGGTTGCAGTGACCGTTTGCTCTGTGATGAATACATTAACTCTGCGTATTAGAAGATTTGTTAGTAGTATGCGCACCGACACCCTTCGGAGTTCTTCGCGATACAAAGAAAGATGAATAATTGATTGTGGTTGATGAAGTTTATTAGGGGTTATTAAGTAGTTAACCTTACCTTCTGGTTGACATTTGTTTAATAGATTAAAATATATTGTAAACACTATCATGCATTATATCAGCATTGCCTTATTTTTTTTTTGATCTTTTATAAGTCAATCTCCTTTTTGTAACATAACCATTACGCCGTTCTAGGCCTTGCTTTGGACGGCCTATGCTTCATTGTGTTAACCAGTGCTGTAGAGCAAGATTTGCTAGGTTCGCTGTGTGTGTTCATAGCTTGGCCTAGCAACAAAATATTAATTGTGATGGAAAATCAGCCCAGCTTTGAGCTTTTTGCACACAAGCTGCAAAAAATCAGAGGCACTATATCGAATTAGTGATTAGTCATGGATAGGAAAATTAAGTGCAAGTAAAAGTGATGACGTAACCACTGACTTATAAATAAACATAGTATAATGTGGTTGATAATTTTTATCGACCAATCATGGCAGATTGAGGAATATATTAATGAAGTGATTGGTATTGGAAGAGAAAGAACGCGTGAACTTGATCCTAAACCTAGACAGACATAATCCCATGAAGAAGTGCGTCTCGCCGATTTTTGTTTGACTATATCATTCTGCAAAGTTTAGCCATGAAAATTTACTGTGTCATATATAATCCAAGTGCGAACAACAGTGTGGTTTAGCCTTGAAAAGGTATTTTGTGTCTCGGCAGAATTTCATCCAGTGTGAATACAGTTGAGGTACAGACAATTCATAATGTAATAGACATAATTCAATACAATCCTCTGTTTGAAAACATAACAACTAATGTAGTGTTGGCCTCATGGCTTATGAAATCCCATGAGCGAACTCTCCTTGACCCTTTGGCTTGCTGCTGTCCTAATTGTTGTTTTGATGTGATGATGATTTTAAAGTTGTTGTGTTTACCACTGATGTTTTTATATTTACTACACTAGTGTTGTTGTGTTTAGCTCGACTGCTTTTGCCTTCACTCCTAATGCTGTTGGTTTTAAAATAAATTTTATAATTGTTGTATTCTCATCAAGCAACGAGTAAACATTAACAAATGTAACATCATATGTTGGATTGACATGGTTGTAACACTGTTACAACCATATTATCATATTAGTATTTGTATGCCATTTCTGCATTAAAAAAAGTAGGCCTATTTTTGACTTAAAGCACCAATAGGCTTTCTCAGCCCTTTGGACTATTTGTTTGATTTGATAGTCTTAATTACGTTAGAACTTAAATTTTGTAAATATTATTAATTAATTAAATACAAATTATGTTTGTTCACAGGAAGGGAATATGTTTAAATTCCATTGTTCAATTCGTAGGTATTAATACTGTATGCTGGAGCATATTACTCTATTAAATCTTTAACAAATTTCTACGGTTAACCTAGAAAATGATGGCAGAGTTTAAGGAGAGTCAGAGATGCACACTTATTTGCTCAGTCCTTCCATTAAAATGCTTTATTCAATTTAAAATTTATTTTTGACAAATGGGAGTAATAAAATTGTAATCTCCTTTAGTTATTAATATATAATGTACATACATATAATTTCCTTTACAACTAATGATTTCATGTAAACTAGGTCGCAGTTGAGAAAACTAATAACATGGCTTCAATAAAACTATGTTGTTTGAAACGATGTTGATGTCATAGTTACGCGCACAATATGATTTGTATTTTTAAAAATATATGCAAATGCATACTACATATTAAAATAAAGAATTTAGGATGTGTTCATTTCATAGATGGAAGTATTAGGCATCATCGCCACCGATTTTTAAGTGACAGAAATTTTGTAGTTTTGTATTGTATTCTGACAAGCTATGCTAACAAGTTCAAAAATACCGTTTAGATTTAGAGGCTGCATTTGTCGACCATTTATTCATGTTTGAGGCCTAGCTGAACATTATTATGACACGAGCATGGGGGATGACCATTTTTAGAATGCGTACTACATTGTAAAATAAAGAATTCAGGATGTTATAATTTTAACAGATACTAAGTATTGGCTTAACGCTATGACAAGCATGTAAGATGACCATTTTTAGAACAAGTCAAGTTAGTATGCTTTGAGCAATTATTAAATTTTCCATGTTGTATCATCGTAAATCTGTTTGTAAAATTGAAGAGTTCAGAATGTTTACATTTTACTGGACGTAGATGAACGAATTCAACATTATTATGACATACACATGTGGGATCGCAAGTTAGTATATACTGCTTGAGTAATTAATAAATTTTCCACTTGGTTTCACCGTAAATCTGTTTGTTAAAAACATGAGATTATCAGCGAAGCTGAGCCGAAAGAGGCTGGGTTTTCTAACATCTTTTAATTCTCTCTACCCTTGACATACTTCTGTTTATTAGCTTTGACCTATTATTAAAAGCAGCCGTTAATGTCCCGCATTTCAAAACGCATCAATTTTTGGTTTTTCGAAAGCAGAATGCATATATTTCAAAGATATGAGTGCAAAATTCATTTAGTCGAAGGTAAAATTTTATTCTAAAAGAAATCACTGTCATTGTTGTAAAGAATAACTTTTATGTAGTTTCAATTAAAAGTTCTTTTGGTGTTTGCTCATTGGAAATTGCTATGAGTTAAAAAAACCAATTAATCAAGTAATTATTTAAAAGAAATTCCATTAAATTGATCAGCTTTAATAGTGACAATTATGTGCTATGCATTGACATAAT